AGAATGGGTTTTAATCCAGTATGACTGGCGTCCCTATGAGAAGAGGAAATCTGGGCTGGGCAGTGTGGCTCATGTTTGTAATCTTTGGGAGATTATAAACAGCAGTTTGGAAGGCCAAGGCGGGTGGATCACCTGAGATTAGGAGTTTGAGACCAGCCTGGCCAACATGGTGAAAACCCGTCTCTACTAAAAGTACAAAAATTAGCCAGGCATGGTGGTGCACACCTGTAGACCAGCTACTTGGGAGGCTGAGGCAAGAAAATTGCTTGAACCGGGGAAGCAGAGGCTGCAGTGAGCTGAGATCACGCCACTGCACTGCAGCCTGGGCAATAGAGCGAGACTCCATCACACACACACACACACACACACACACACACACACACGAAAAAATCTGGCCAGGTCTGTAATCACAGCAATTTGGGAGGCTAAGGCTGGAGGATCGCTTGAGCCCAGGAGTTTGGGATGAGTGTGGGCAGCAAAGGGAGACCCCATCTCTACCAAAAACAAAATTTAAATTAGCTGGGCATGGTGGTATGCCCCTGTAGTTTCAGCTACTCAGGGGCCCGAGGTGGGCAGATCACTTGAGTCCAGGAGGTTGAGGCTGCAGTGAGCCAGGAGAGGCATACAACAGATTCTCTCCCACAGCCCTCACAAGAAACCAACTCTGCTAATACTTCCAGCCTCCAGAAATGTGAGACAATAAATTTCTGTTTTTTATGCCACCCAATTTATGGTACTTTGTCCCTGCACCCTAGGAAATTAATACAAGAGGGAAAACAAAAATTGGGTAGGCCATCTGCAGTCTCTGACACATCTATTTAAAAAAATAGGTTTTATATTTAGAGCAGGTGTAGGGTCACAGAAAAACTGAACAGAAACCGTAGGGTTCCCACACAGCCCCTACCCATCCGCACACACAGCTTCCCCTCACTATGTATTATGTATATTTATTACATTTGATGAACCTACATTGAGACATCATAATTATCCAGTCCATGGCTGACATTCGTGTGTGTGTGTGTCTGTGTCTGTGTGTGTGTGTGTCAGGGTCTCACTATGTCCCCCGGGCTGGAGTGCAGTGTCATGATCTCAGCTCACTGCAACCGTCACCTCCTGGATTCAAGTGATTTTCCTGCCTCAGCCACCCAAGTAGCTGGGATTACAGGTGTCCACCACCACACCTGGCTAATTTAGTATTTTTAGTAGAGATGGGGCTTCACCATGTTGGCCAGGCTGGCCTCAAACGCCCAACCTCAAGCGATCTGCCTGCCTGGGCCTCTCAAAGTGCTGGGATTATAGGCATGAGCCACCACACCTGGCTGAGAAATCTTATATTATCTCAGGTAAAGCTAGTCTTTCTAATTATGACACAAAACTAAAGTCATGGAAAAGACTGCTAAATTTCACTACATTAAAATTATTTTAATGCCAAAAACCATTAGGAGCAATACCATTTGGCAAAAAACAAACTAGAAAAAAAAATTAGAACTCTTATCACTAAGTTTCCCAAAATATTCAGTATCCCTACAAAAGGCAAAAAACTGACAGAATTTGAGACATCATAATTATCCAGTCCATAGCTGATGTTCACGTGTGTGTGTTTCTCACTAAGTCTCCCAGACTGGAGTACAGTGGCACAATCTCAGTTCACTGCAACCTCCATCTCATACCTATAATCTCAGCACTTTGAGAGCCTGAGGTGGGCGGTTCATGAGGTCAGTTTGAGACAGCCTGACCAACATGGTGACACCCCATCTCTACTAAAAATACAAAAATTAGCTGAGGGTGGTGGCACAAGCCTGTAATTCCAGCTACTCAGGAGGCTGAGGCAGGAGAATCACTTGACCCTGGGAGGCAGAGGTTGCAGTGAGCCGAGATCATGCCTTTGCACTCCAGCCTGAGTGACAGAGCAAGACTCCACCTCAAAAGAAAAGAAAAGAAAAGAAATCCAAATTGCAAATGCACATAACCTTTCATCTAGCAATGTCACTTCTAGGAATTTTCCCTTTGTAAATACTAACACATTTGAGAAATGACTTATGTAAAAGGATATCCATTTTGGTAATGCATGTAATAGCAAAAGAGTGGAAACAACCTAAATGTTCATCAATAGAGGGCTGTCTAATGGCCAACTAAAGGAATTGCATGAGTCCTAAAAGAGAATTATAAAGGTTACATATTTTAATATGAATTCATCTCCAGAGTGTATTGTTATGTGAAGAAACAACAAATTCAGGGGCCAGGCATGATGGCTCATCATGCCCGTAATCCCAGCATAGGAGTCTGGGTGAGAGGCCAAGGTGAACGGATCACTTGAACCTAGGAGTTCCAGACCAGCCTGAGTTAAGATGGCGAAACCCCATCTCTACAAAAAATACAAAAAATTAGCTGGGTGTTGTGGTGTGCACCTGTAGTCCCAGCTACTTGGTAGGCTGAAGTGGGAGGACTGCTTTAGCATGGGAGGCAGAGGTTGCAGTGAGCCAAGAACACAGCACTGCACTCCAGCCTAGGTGACAGATTGAGATCCTGTCTCAAAACAAAAACAAAGAAAAAATTCAATGGTACTGGTTCCTTGTGATAAGAACTGGGGAGCTGGAAGAGTGGGAAGGAGAATTCACCATTTATTCTCTTGTGAATGGTCCAAATACTGAACCATGTGAATGTATTTCCTATGCAAAAATTTAACTTAAAAAAAGAAGTCCCATTACTGATCACATTTTATTGAAACATGGAACTCTCCATTTCCACCAAGGAAAGGTTAATAATGAGGAGCTGTGAGTTAGTAAAATGGCTCCATATACTCTAAATCTATGGAATAAGTAACCAAAACAAAAGTTGAACAGTTTTCATAATTTAAAGAATGTTCTGGGACTCAAAAATCTATAGAATCTTTTATACTCAGAACAAGAAAAATATCAAAAAGCAATAGGATATAAAACAAATAATTTTAAATGGTAAATTTCATCTGACTAAAAACTTTGAAAAACATATATGAAAATGACATCACAAGAATCAAACTTTTGACAAAGGCAAATTAAAGCAATGTAATGATCTGAAAAAAAAAACAACAACAACAAAAAAAACAGACATTTTAAAAACCTTTGGCCACATACATAAGTCCAACTAGTAGCCCTAGAAAAGAATACTGACTGGTTCATGCAATGAAATTCCTGACCTCGGTCTTTAACTCCTGAGGATTTTAGTTCTTAAATGTCTCAAACCTGTATTTTTCTGCCAGTGTTCCAGTTAAAGCTCTTTCTTCTAGGCTATTTCAGTAAACTGACTGTCACTATGACTTCATCCCCACACATCTTTCCAACTGCTGCTAGAATTTATGGCATAAATCTAATGGTCTCACTACCTTGCAAAATGCTTTCATTCGTTACCCATTGCCTAAATAGTAAAGTTCAAATGTTTTTGTGTGGCTATCTTCTTTTTTTGCTCCCCTTCCCCAAAAATACCTTCTCCCCTAAATGTAGAAATTGCTTATCTTTTTTGGCTATTGGTCTTGGGTGGAGATCTGACTCTTACCAGGCCAATTAACAGTTTATGTTCGAAATTTCAACTTGGAACTGAGTTCATTTCTCTTTGGATGCCTGTAGCATCCAAAAGTTCAGTAGTCAGTGGCCATGTTTTCTGCTAATTAAACCTAAAAAAAAAATAAAAAAAATAAAAAAAAAAAATCTAGTTATAAAAGAAAGAGAAAATGAAGATGTGCAGAGAAGCTGGACCCAGAGTGAGGAAATTGTGTGTTCAATCCCAGCTCTTCTTTGAGTCCAGCCACATCCTTGTCCTCAAGTCTAGTGAGACAAGTCAGCCTCCTTACAATAAAATCCCCCTTTGAGGCTGGTTCAGACTGAGTTTCATATACTGCACCCAAGTCAGTCCTAATCCCACTGCATATGGCTACTTGGCAATTTAACCATAATCTACCTTACCAGCTTCATTTCTGTGTTCTGACCACACCTCCATTATATCACATACTCACACTGACCTAGCAGTCATTTCCCCCAAATTCAATTCTATTCTTGAGCCCTGCAGTGCATTAACCTGGGATGACTTTCTTCCCTCTCCTTGACATGGAGAATGCTTCACATCTACTCTGAGATGTTGCATAAGTGCCCCCCACCCTCACTGTGAAGCTTTTTGAGTATCTACTGCTCCCACATCCAAGCCAAAAGGTCACTCCATTCTCTGTGCTCACTGTCCTTAGCATATGTTTCTTTGATTACACTGATCGCATTATATTGCAGAATTCCTATTTGCTTGTATACTATTTTGTAAGTTCTTTAAGGACAGTGTCTATGTAGCTCCACTGCCTAACACAAATAGAGAACACATGACCTGTACTTAATAAATGTTAAATCAGGTTATTCCAGCAAACCAAGTGAATTCACCCTGGCCACACAGGCTGTAGCAAATGTGCTCCCAAAAGACATAACCAACTTCTTGTCTTAATATCTGATTAAGGAAGCAGTCTCTCATGAATAATGTCAATTTTGTGTTTGAACACAAGAGTAACTTAGACGTGAAATAAACTGATCAGGGGAAGCAGAATCAACATCAGAAGCCCCTACATCCCCAATCCTATGGCACATAAATCTGTAACTGCAATCTTATACCAGAGACGTAGTTCATTCTCTTCTTTCTCACACTTTTTATAGTTATTCATTCTGCTAAATGCTTTTATGTCTAAATACACATCAACCCCTCTTGCACCATTTGCTTTTTGCAATGAAGTATTCTAGAACAAATTGGATTACTAAACCAAGCAAACAAACACAAAAGTTATCAGCTAATTTTAATACTTAGTTGAGTTTTTTTCCTGAAGTGTTCTTTAACCTCAAATGTATCAAGAAAATAAATTTCCAATGGGTTGGGGTCTTTTTGTTGTTTTTAAAAGTGTATAATATATATATTATCTGGAAACCAGCAGAAAAAAGGGATTGTTTTGTTTTATACTTTACCTGTAACCAAACAAAAGAAGTAAGACACAATTTCTTTGTGGCTAAGCTGGTTTATTGAACTTTATGGGGGAAATGTAACAGTGACACTATTCCACAACAAAATTATTTAACTTTAGATTTCATGAGGAAACATGTATTTGCAATATACTTTCAATAATGCATTGTTACTAACAGCTAACTATATTAGATTCTGGGGTAGTTTCCTTTAGCGCTCACAAATTAAGACTTTTCCAAAACATATCTGATATTTCAGTTATTTATTTTCAATTAAAGGTCACAGTTAAATTCCACAGATTTTTTTAATGTGTGATTTGTGCTTTAAAAATTAATAATTCGTTGTTGATAGCTATCATTTTGGAAGTGATTTTCAACAGTCAATGAAATGTTTTATAAATATTTTAAAATATTAAAAGCTTTATCCCCATTCAACTGGTATGTTCTTTTCAAAAATAAAAACATACATATAAAAAATTAAAACCATAAATTGTTACAAATGAGATACAAATATTTTAAAATAAATATTAAAGTTAAAAAATAAGTCCTTTCACAGAACTGTAAAAGATACTACTAACTCCTTACAAAAAGAAATAAAGTTACTCTTTTTAAAACCATAGTAACAGCAATTAAAAAACCATAAATGTGTTTGGAAAAATCTATAAACTTTCTTCCCCAACTTTAGAGAATATTTTGAAAGACAATAAACACAGTCCCTTCTTTAAAAAAAAAGTTGTTACACCCATCACAATTACTACAGCTGTCATTGTTTTATTACAAAAATAGTTATAAATCAAGATTTAGATACAAGTAAAACAATTTTTAATTTTTAATTCCAGCATGATTAAGAAAAATGATCTCTCTATATGCAAATAAAGTCAATTTGAGTTCTAATACTGAAAACGGAATAATCACTTCCTATAATTACTAGTCTCAGCTCATTTAATAGAATTATCTTGTCTTTATAGTTAAATTGTCCAGTTAGGACCCCCATGATCAACAAAAATCTTAAACTAGATTAGATTACATTTTTAGTTGATTTCCCACATTCTGAAAATATTGTTAAGAACAATAATCTTTTGGCTTAATTTCCTCCAAAATTATTAAGGACAGTAATCTATCAGAATTAGTGAATGTGAACACTTCAGTTAAAGTCATGGCTTACATTCCACTTATGTAAGTAGTTTAATATGTAAGCTTGCTATATTTTATGTGCAAAGACTTAAATTCAAAATAAAAGTATTTAGGTTAAAAAACTTTTGAAATATTCTTTCCATCACTAAAGGATAGAAAAGATATTTTTCAATATCTAATTTATCTTTCATACTGAGGAGGAATAGCTTGTTGTGACCATAAAATTTAGACATCTTAAAAATTGATATGACACAATACTATTACAGAAATACATATGGACTAATAGCAATTAGAGTTGTGCCTTCACAGCTACAATCCAAATGGAAGTTGATTTAATGAGATTTAGTAAGAAAGCATTTAATGAGATTTAGTAAGAAAGCAATTCAAACGACTCTTTTTAAAAGTAACAATGATTTCTGTAGATCTGATTAATATTAATTAGAAAATCAAACACCTAGAACTCTTAAAAAAGTCATTCTTTATGGACTGGGAACCAGAAAACATTCTATGCTTTCTTATCCCACTGAAACTAAAGTCTTGGCTCTAAAACATACCAATAACAAAATTAAATATGCAAATAAAACAAAGAAAGTCCAGATGCAGTGGTGAGCACCTGTAGTCCCTGCTACTTGGGAGGCTAAGGTGGGAGAATTGCTTGAGCCCAGAAGCTCAAGGCCAGCCTGGGCTACACAGCAAGACCCAGTCTCTAAGAAAAAAACAAAAAAAGAACTCTGAGTAGAGGCTAATACCAGTTTTCATCCTATTAAGAACACTTCCCATTCAAAGGACATATCATTAGGTGTGTGCTAAACCATTAACACTTTTTTCCAATCCTAGGAACACAAGATTGAATGGTTTCTGATCCTTTAAATTACAGCATGTTCTCATTTTAAGCCTCCTTCATTGGGCTCTAGATGGAGAGATGTTCTGATTCATTCTATCTTTGCTTCATTTTCAATCTCACCTGAAAACCAACTTTTCCTTGTGCTGTCACAGTGACAAACTTAAGTAGATAAAAAATACAAAAGTGTGACAATGATAAACAGCAAAGTATCAAGATGACCCAATATAGTTGAGATTAAATCTTATGACTTATTACTGTCATATTTCAGAAGTATTTCTTTAGTCAAAATTAGATAATATAATAAAGACTGTTATTTAGCACCAGCACGACATTGCAGGCTTTGGTTCAGACTTCAGGATAATTCCATTATCAGGGGGTTGACTAAGCATTAATGGTTTGTGGCTCTTAAGCTTATGAGCCAAGGTCATAAATATAGCTTCCACATGGTCATTATCATTGGGGTTTTTAGCGGAGGTTTCAAACAAAGGCATACTGTGTGTGTCAGCAAATTTCTGTGCCAAGTCTGTGGGCACCTGAATGGCACTTCTCAAGTCACATTTATTTCCAACAAGAATCCGTGGTATATCATTGGCTAGCAAATGTTGTTTGCATTCCTCTATCCAAGATGGTAGGCTATGAAAACTAGCCATGTTGGTCATATCATACACGAAGACAACAGCATGTACATTTCTGTAGTAGTGCTGAACCATGCTCTTTCTGAATCGTTCTTGTCCTGCTGTGTCCCATAACTGGATCTGAAAATGGGAAGAAAAAGAGGAAAACTAAAAGTCTTATTCTAATTATACATATCAAGAAATTCATCATCTTGCATTGTCTTTACTAACTCTTCACTTAAAATATTTTGTTTCTCCCTTCCATAATGCTTTTTCAATGTTACCTATGGGATCCAGACTTCATAATACCAGTTACCTCATAACTAAATTATAATATAAATGTTATATTATGAACAAATATTTCAATACAGCATTTTCTAAATTTTGTAAATTCAATTTGTTTAAATAAAATTATACCTCAAAATTTTATTTTAAAATCTCAAGAGAAAAATGTATCAGGTGTTAATCATGTTAAGCATTTAATTCCTGTAAATTTGGTTACTTAGGCTCTTCTTTACCTTTCACTAGTTTAATTTAAAATATTAAATCTAGGAAAAGATGTTAATTGTTATGTGGTTGAGTCTCCAAACAAACATATGCATGTGTATGTATGTCTATGAAATCCAGACCCCTTGAAAATTTAAGAAGGCTAGAAAAAAAGCAAGAATAAAAACATTCAACATACAATTAAGATGCTTAAAACTATAAATGTCAAAACTTACTACAAAGCTACAGTAATCAAGACTGTGTGAAACTGGCCTAAGAAGAGACACATAGATCAATGGAACAGAATTGAAGATCCAGAGATAAACCCATATATCTATGGTCATTTTTAACAAGAGTACCAAGACAATTCAACAGCAGGAAAGATTAGCCATTTCAATAAATGGTGCTGGACAACATGCAAAAAATGAGGCTGGATCCCTACCTCACACCATATATAAAAATAAACCCAAAATATATCAAAGACCTAAATTTAAGAGCTAAAACTGTAACTGTAATCCTGGATTAGGCAATGATTTCTTAGATACGATACCTAAAGCACAAGCAACTAAGGAAAACAATAAACTGGAGTTCATCAAAATTAAAAATATTTGTACAGCCAGGCATAGTGGCTCAGCACTTTAGGAGTCCAAGGCAGCAGGGTCTTGAACCCCAGAGTTCAAGACCAGTTTGAACAAATAAAATTGGAGGGTGGAGCAAGATGGCAGAATAGAAAGCTCCACCTATCATGCCTCAACTCCCCCTGCAAGTATACCAAGTTAATAACAACACAGAAAAGAAACAACTTCATAAGAACCAAAAATCAGGTGAGCACTCATAGTGCCTAGTTTTAACTTCATATTGCTGAAAGAGGAACTGAAGAGACAGAAAACACAGTCCTGAATTGCCAATGCACACCGCCCGCCCCCAAACACACACACCCAGCAGCAGCAGTGTGTTATGGAAAGCTTCTCTTGGCACCAAGAAAAGGAGAACACAGCAATTGTGAGGCACTGAACTCAGTACTGTCCTGTTAGAGCAGAAAGGAAAACCGGACCAAACTCAGCTGATGTCTACCCACAGAGGGAACATTTAACCCAGCCCCAGCCAGAAGGGAATCACCAATCCCAGCAGTCCAAACATGAGTTCCCGCAAACCTTGCCACACCCAGCTACAGTGCTATGTGTCTCCAAGTAAACTTGAAAGGCAGTCTAGGCCACAAGATTGCAACTCTGAGGTGAGTCCTGGTGCTGAATTAGGCTGAGAGACAGTGGACTGGAGCAGGTAAAAGACATACTGAGACTCCAGCTGGGGCAGCCAAGGGAGTGCTGCCATCATCCCTCCCCTAACCCCAGGGTGCACAGCTCACAGCTCCCAAAAAAAAAACCCACTTCATTCCATTTGGGAAGAGGAAAGGAGAGGGAAGAGTGGGGAGGACACTGTCTTAATCTTGGATACCAGCTCAGCCACAGCAGGATAGGGCACTGGTCAGAGTTGTGAAGCCCCCATTCCAGGCCTTAGCTCCTAGATAACATTTCTAGATACACCTTGGGCAGAAAGGAATCTGCTGCCTTGAAGGAAAAAAACCCAGTCCTTGCAGCATTCATCACTGCTAATTGAAGAGCCCTTGGACCCTGAAAAACCAGCAGCCATACTCAGGCACTACACTGACAAACTTGGGGTAAACCTCTGAGACTTGCTGGCTGAAAGTGAGACTCAGCACATAATTAGCTGTGGTGACTATAGGGCAAAACTCCTTCTGCTTGAGAAAAGCAGAGGCAAAAGTAAAGGGGACCTTGTCTTGTACCTTAGGTACCAGCATCGCCACAGGGGGGTGGAGCACCAAGAGGGCTCTTAGAGTCCCAGATTTCAGGACTTGACTCTTAGATGGCATTTTTGGACCTGCCCTGGGCCAGAGGGGACCCTACTACTCTGAAGGATGAGGTCCAGACCAGGCAGCATTCATGACAAGCTGACTTAAGAACCTTGGGCCTTATGGGAACATTGGTGATAGTCTGGCAGTACTCCTCATGGCCTGGGGTGGCAGTGGCTGCAAGTGGGAAGCTCCTCTCCTTTGGAAAGAAGAGAAGAGTGAGAAGGACTGTGTCATTTGGTTTGAGTGCCAGCTCAGCCACAGTACAATGGAACACCAAGTAAACTTCTAAGATTTTTAACTCTAGTCCCTGACTCCTGGAAAGCACTTCTGGACCAACCCAAGGCTTAGAGGACCTTGCCACCCTGAAGAGAAGGACACAGGCCTGGCTGGCTTTGCCACTTGCTGATTGTAGAGTCCCAGGGCCTTGAGTGAACATAGGTAGTAGCCAGGGAGTGGTTACAGCCAAAGTTACAGCCTTGGGTGAGATACAGTGCTGTGCTGGCTTTAGGTCTAACCTAGAGCAGTCACAGTGGTGGTGGTCACAGTGGTGTTGGTCACAGGGGTGCTCGCATCACTCCACTCAGTATTAGGTGGCTTAGAACAAAGAAAGAGAGAGAGAGAGAGAGACTGTATGTTAGGAAGAAAGTAAGGGAAGGGAGCAAGAGTCTCTACCCAGCAATCCAGACAATTCTCCCGGATCTTGTCCAAGATCATCAAGGTGGTACCTCTACAAGTCTGCAAGATCACAGTGCTACTGGGCTTAGGGTGTCCCCTAAGGCAGATACAGTTGTGATCACAACACTCAAGTCCTTTCAGATATCTGAAAATCCTTCCCAAGAAGGACAGCTACAAATAAGCCCAGACAGTGAAGACCACAATAAATACCTAACCCTTCAATGTTCAGACACAGAACATCTACTAGCATCAACACCATCCAGGAAAATATGATCTCACCAAATGAACTAGATAAGGCAAAAGGGATCAATCCTGGAGAAGCAGACATATGTGACCTTTCAGAGGAGAATTCAAAACAGCTGTTTTGAAGAAACACAAGATAATACAGAGAAGGAATTCAGAATACCACCAGATAAATTCAAGAAAAAGACTGAATAATTAATAAGAATCAAACAGAAATGCTGGAGCTGAAAAATGCAATGGGCATATTGAAGAACACATCAGAGTCCTTTAACAGCAGACTTGATTAAGCAGAAGAAAGAATAAGCAAGCTTGAAGACAGGCTAATTGAAAATACACCATCAGAGGAGACTAAAGTAAAAAGAATAAAAAACAAGGAAGCATGCCTACAGGATCTAGATCTAGAAAATGGCCTCAAAAGGGTGAATCTAAGAGCTACTGGCCTTAAAGAGAAGGTAGAGAAAAAGGACAGAGATACAAAGTTTATTAAAAGGGATAATACAGAAAACTCCCCAAACCTAGATGAAGACATCAATATTCAAATATAAGAAGGTTACAGAACACTAAGCAGATTTAACCCAAAGAAGACTACCTGAAGACATTTAATAATCAAACTCGCAAAGGTCAAGAATAAAGAAAGGATCCTAAAAGCAGCAAGAGAAAAGAAACAAATAACATACAGTGGAGTTCCAATAGGTCTGGCAGCAGACTTTTCAGTGGAAACCTTACAGGCCAGGAGAGAGTGATGTATTTCAAGTGCTGAAAGAAAAAAACTTTTACCCTGGAATAGAATATCTGGCAAAAATATCATTCAAACATGAAGGAGAAATAGACTCCCAGACAAACAAAAGCCAAGGGTTTTGATCAATACCAGACCTCTGCTACAAGAAATGCTAAAGGCAGCACTTCAATCAGAAAGAAAAGGATATTAACAAGCAATACATAATTACCCAAAGATAAAAAATTCACTGGTAATAAGTACACAGAAAAACACAGAATATTCTAACACTATAACTGTAAGTGTGGTATGTAAACTACTTATCCTAAGCAGAAAGACTAAGTGATGAACCCATCAAAAATAATAACCACAACTTTTCAAGACATAATCGATACAGTAAGATATAAATAGAAATAAGAAAAAGTTTAAAAGTTAGAAGGATAAAGTTAAGGCATACAGTTTATATGTTTTTTTCTGTTTGTTTATGTAAAGAGTGTTAACTTATCATCAGGTGATGTGGTTTGGCTGTGTCCCCACCCAAATCTCATCTTAAATTTCTACATGTTGTGGGTGGGAGGGACCCTGTGGGAGGAAACTGAATCATTGGGGTAGGTATTTCCCATGCTGTTCTCGTGATAGTGAATAACTCTCAAGAGAGCTGACAGTTTTGAAAAGGGGAGTTCCCCTGTACAAGCTCTCTTCTCTTGTCTGCCACCATGTGAGACGTGCCTTTCACCTTCTGTCATGATTGTGAGGCCTCCCCAGCCACGGGGAACTATAAGTCCGATAAACCTCTTTCTTTTATAAATTGCCCAGTCTCAGGTCTTTATCAGCAACATAAAAATGGACTAATACATCAGGTTAAAATAATGGGTTATAAGATATTATTTGCAAGCATCATGGTAACCTCAAGCCAAAAAATATACAATGGATACACAAAAAGTAAAAAGCAAGAAATTAAATCCTATCACCAGAGAAAATTACCTTCACTAGAGGAAGACAAGAAGGAAAGAAGGGAAAAACCACAGAACAATCAGAAAACAAATAACAAAATAACAGAAGTAAGTAAAATTAAATACCTAGAGATTAACCAAAGTAATTAAAGACCTCTACAATGAAAACTATAAAACACTGATAAAAGAAATTAAA